ATTTCAACATTGAGAGAGTGAAAGAAAAAGAAAACATGTATATAGAAGTAGAGAACTACAATGAAATAATAAAGTGTCAAGAAAACTCTAAACAACAAATTCTAATATATGATGAAAACAAAGGCATATATACAGTCAAACGTAGAAAACTGAGAAATATATCAAAGCTAGTTCAGAAAACAAAAAATGGTCCGAGAATAGTCTTTGAGAAGCAATATATAAAAAAATCACTAGAAAAGAAAAATAAAAAATCAATAGTTAAAACAAAAGAGTTAAGGAAATTAAAAGAGAAAAAGAGAATAGTTATAAGTTGTGAAAGGTGGAAAATAGTACTAGTAAATAGATTAGTTAAAAATAATAGAATTAAAGAGAAAATAATAGAAATGCTAGAACAAAATAGAAATCTAGATAGTTTATATTTCTACACAAATGGCTCACTCAGTACCTCAGAGAGCGATGAAGGGTTAAAGATGGGATGTGGAGTAGTTCTAGTGTCAGAAGAAGGGCATGTTATGCGAAATCTAACCTGTGCAACTAAGAAGTAGTTTTCCTCAACAAGAGCTGAACTTATAGCAATTCTACTTGTGTAACTAACAATATCTAGCAAAAAAAAGGCTGAGATAAGAACAGATAGTAAAGCAGCAATTCTAGCAATCAAGAGGGGTCTAGAAAATAGTAAAGTTAGGCAATGCCTAAAAACCAAAAATAGAGGCCTCATTACAACCATAGTAGAGGTAATAAAGACAAAGAAGATAAATTTTTGTCTTACAAAGGTCAAGGGATATTCGGGTAACATATTGAATATGGCAGATTAAAATGAAATCGGATTAAAATGAAATTTTTCTATTTTTTTAGGAAAATTTAAAATTTTTTGGGAGATATTTTTTAGGGTTAGGGTTAGTGCTAGAGTTAGGGTTTAGAGTTAGTTTTATTAATAAAAGAGTATAAGTGGGTTTTATAAGCTTTAAAGATGAGCAAGAAAGGTCCCCAGTTTCATTTTAATCCAATTTTATTATGATCTGCCACATTGAATGATCTGGCAGATATAGAAGCCAAAAAAGGAGTGGCTTCTACAAAGTACTTAATTCTAGAAATACTAAGTACAAAAGAGTATAAGTTAAGATATACATGGGAAGGAGAAATAGTAGAAAAACCTATCTGCTCTTTTGTCAAGATGCTTGGAAAAGTAATAAACAGAGCCGAATGGATCTTTTTACACAACACACACAATACAACATACTAAGAGAGAAAGGCTATGCAAATGTGGCTGATTTTCTACAAGCTACTAAGCAATAGAACTAAACAACGAAACTACACATCCAAGACAAATACAATACAGCTCTTCAAAATTAAATGCATAAATAATATACTTCCGGTACTTGAAAAGCTTAATCAAAGAAGACCAGAAGTATACCAAACAGATAAATGTGTAGTATGTAAAAAAGAAAAAGAAACTATAGAACACCTAGTGAGTTGTGAGATATCAATAGACCTGCTTCACAGTATAGAAGAGCAAGAAGTAGAAGTGATTCTTATAGAAATTAAAGATACAGAAAAGTTGAAGAAAAAGAAAAAACATATACTAGCAATGTTAGAAAAAGGAAGTAAATCTGAAGAGATCTAAAGAAGAGAAAGATGGATTAGAGGTCTAGTTACAATAGAAAACTTTAAGGAGTTGAGATCCTATTTTAACTCCAATAACCAGATGAAGAGCTTCATAGTAAAACTTTAGAAGAATTAGACGAAAAAGATACATGAAAAAATATGGATCCCAAGATGCAAGTTGGTACAAGAATAGAAAAAAGAAAATGGCATTGCTTCAAGAGAAAAGAAAAGGTCTTATGAAAAGTCCAAGAAAAGAAACAAGAAGAAGAAGAGAGAAAAAAAACAAGGCCCCAAAGTGGATTCTTCAAAAAAAACTAATAAAGGAAAGAGTAAGAAAAAAGAAGAGGACACGAGGTAGGAATTGGTGTTAGAAATCTCAAAGAAAAAAGTACTAAGTTGGATTAAAGGTGGTTAACGTTTAGAGTGGTGAAAAGTTAACATGTAGTCTTGACAAGCAATAAGGATTGCCGTTAAAGTACTATCAAAGCCAAATGTAGGATAAGATAGTACAGAGGCAAATCTTACTATAGCAGGTCACATATAGGTACTCAGTAAGCAACCAGGTGAGTCTCTACTTGTAATTTAGATACCGAAAAGTTTAACTCTTTGGAAAATTTTAATAGTTTAGAGAATTATTATAAAGCCTAATAAAGTGAAGGCAAAACTGCTGAATTTATAAAAAAAAAAAAAAAAAATCATGAATAATATAATTAATAAATAATACTGTTGGCCCTCCTCAAACCGGTATGCATAGTGGATAAGTTCTGTATCGGTTTTGAGAGATTATCGGATTTGGAAAAATCAAGTGACCGATGGGTCACTAATCTACCAATAAGATTGCTGAATTTGAAAATATATTCAGATAGAAAAAATTTTTTTTAAATCAAAGAACCATGGTAAGTGCTATAATAAATAGAAATGTTATATATATAAATGCATAATCTAACTGCATAAGTTAACAGATCGCTATACTTAAAAAATTTTCTGCATTTGTGTATACCTTTTTAATTAAAAACTGGGCTATTGCCAACAATTGATATTTATTTATTTATTATTTTTAAGAGACGTTTGCGCCAATCCACCAATCTTGGTTTGGTAGGCTAACCGAAAGAAGAAAATTAAAATATAAATTAAAGCAATAAAACCAAATTAGGTGGGTTTTTGAATACGAACGTCTTAAAAATGTTATTAGAATTTCAAATTAGCTTCAAATTCACAAAAAAGAATGATACGGCCAATTCTTCTTGGATGAAATATTCAAAAATAATGTACAGTATCAAAAAAGTAGATTAGATGAGTAATTAAAATTGTAAAATAAAATAATAATAAAAAGGATATTATTGGGTTAATAGTGCCTGCTTTAAAAATCCTGTGTCTTGCATTAAAATTTTTTATTATTTGCTGTTAGTTAACTTTTTTCACTCACCTAAATCATAACACTTCTATAATATTAAGCTAAGTATTTCAAAAAATAAAAAACATTCTAAAATAACAAAATTATACAACCTATTTATTTCACCATTATTATGGGAAAAAAAAAGATAAAATTATTTTAGCTGGGAATTTGCATAATGATCAAAGGAAAATGATATTTAATCATTACCTAAAAAATCTAACAATTACTCAGAAGAACTTGCTGAGTGGGCTAAAAATAAGTTCAATTTAGTAAAAGCCCCTGGCCAAAGTACAATCTCTGATATTTTAAAAAGGAAAGACAAGTTCAGTAAAATGTCTTCAAACAACCTTGGGGTTAAAAAACATCATGTTATTATGTTCCCCGAACTAGACACTGCTTTGGTGAACTAGGTACTGCAGTATGAACATTGGGCTATATGTTTAAATGGTGACATGATTAAAGCTAAGGGCAAGCGATTATCAGACCTAATGAATATTTCTGAAAATGATCAGCCTGAATTTTTAAATGGATATTTGCAAGCTTTTCAAGAAAGGCATAATTTTTACCATTTTAAGCTACATGGTGAGAGTGGTTCTGCTGACATTGCTGCTATCATTCTAAACCTTCCTGATATTATTAATACCACTAATCAATATCCCTTTTATGATATCTACAATATGGACGAGACAGGTTTATTTTATTCTATGACCCTGATCGCACAATTGTATCTTGACAGATTGAAGTATCAAAAAAAAAATTGCACAAAAATCATGATTGCTTTTACAGCCAATGCAGATAGCACTCACAAACTTGAACCCTTCATTATTAGACATGCCACAAGACCTAGATGTTTTAAAAAAAAAACAGGTGAAGAACTTGGATTCTATTACTGTAATAATAAAAAAGCATGAATAACCGCCATGTTTTTTCAAGAATGGATACAAAAATTTGATCAAGAAATAAGATGATCCAATCGTTATGTTTTACTTATCCTTAATGGTGCTCCCTCGCATGTTACTAGTACTATTACCCTTACTAATGTAAAAGTGCTCTTGTTGCCTCCATATATGATATCAAAAATTCAACCTATGGATGCCGGCATCATTGCATTATTCAAACTTCATTATTGTCATATTCAGCTTCAATATGCAATTAATCATGATGAAGCCGAGGAGAAAGATATATATAAAGTCGATCAATTGCAGATAAAGTTAAAAACTAATAGGTTTAAAATTTGTTATAACTAAAGTCAAAAATTAAACCTATTATTTAATATAAAATTTAAATTGTTAAAAAAAAAAAATAATAAATAAAAAAAAAAATACAAATGAGTTTAAATAGGATTTATATTTTAGATACCTTTTTCTGCATCAGCCATAGCAATTTTTAAACCCTTTTGATAAATCAAAAAAAAAATGTAGTTAGCCTCAAGTTGCAGTTAATTAATTAAAAATTTCCACTAACTTATACAGTACTACTAATTATAGGCTATGAAATGGACTAAGTTTGCCTAGAGTGAAGTATTAGCTGAAACAATTAAAAGGTGTTGGTTTCGCATGAAAGTTGTATCCCCTCATAATAAAAATGGTGTACCTATTGTCCTTCCTATTGCTGAAGAAGGTATTGATGATGAAAGTATTGATGATGTAGAAGAAACCTCACCTTTTGATCCAAATGATGAACTAGCAGTTAAGGAACTCCAACAGCAAATAAATATATTGCATGTTTGTAATCCAATGCCAATTGAAGACTTGCTAAACCTTGAAGAAGAACAAGAAGTATACCATTAGTTTACTGATGAAGATCTGATTCACACCGCTACAGAAATTGAACAGATCGAAGACAAATTTGTTGTGCCACCCCTAACTGGGGAGGAACAATTGAACATTTTACGTAGTGCTTTAAGAATTGTTGATGAAAGGATTGATGATGGTAGAGAAACAATGAAATCATTATGCAAGCTATAGTTCTGTATTCGTGAGGAAGTTTGAAAAGAAAAAGCTGGTAAGCAAGTCCAAAATAAATTGAAGCAATACTTCAAAACTTGAATTTTTTTTTTTTTTTTTTTACTAAAATAACTTATATGAGAGGACGGATTCCTTAAGAAATTTTGTCATAAATAAAATCGTGCTTTACATTCAACACTCTCTAAGTGCAGCCTCTCTAAGTTCTAATAAAATGCACTTAAAGAGAGTTATCTGTAAAAATAAAATAAAATTACATTAGTGAATTTTCTGTAATATGAAAAAGCCATAATCAGAACTGTATGTGTTGTTCTCTTTTTTGTATGTATGTACGTATGTACGTCGTAATCGCTTGAGTCTATCACATTAAAATTTATGATTTTAATTGGCCAATGATCATGTAATCAGATCCGACAAGTCAGGAACTTATGTATCTTGCCTATCGGATATCAGGAATGGCAGATTATTAGGTATGAATTAGAGAGCAGGCCCAGTGGATCGATTTTTAACTGATTATGGCAGAATATCAGTTTTGACAAGATCAGTTTGGAGAAGGCTGACAGTATTTAATAAAATTATATTATTTGATTTATGAAGTAATTTAAAAGTAATATTTCAGTTTTGATAAGCATATTCTTTAACAATTTTATTAAGAAAATCTTGCAACTTGTTGAATTATTAACTTTTGGTTATTCTAAAATTATTACAAGTTCTATCCAAATTTTGTTGCCATCTCTAACTAGTTTCACTGACATACTAGTGCAGTTACTGTATCTAGATCTAATAAAGCATGATAATCATCAATAATACAACTAGCATAATTAAATATTTGTTTAAAAGCTACACTTGTAGCTAGCACAGCAAGAAAGTTATATACCATTTTAGCCAGAGTTGGATAATGATTATTTTTTTTTTCTACCATTTGATAATGTTAGTAGTTTTGAGTGCAACTTGCTCATCAATATATTGTTTAAATTTACAAAAAATATCTTAACTAGTCTGTTTTTTTTCATCACATATTTATAATAATCATTGATATAGTCTTCATATAATAGAGCATTATTCTTGATGCTAGTGGCATTTTCAATATTAGTTGAACTTTGTTCAAGAACCGAAGGAGAATAATAGTTAAAATAAATATCTTCAAAACTAAATTATCAAAAATATAAATTAATTAATAATAAGTAATATACTGTAAATTACTAATTAATTAGCAATAATTTACCTTGTATGAATATCTTGTACCTTTTTATTAACATAATCTGGTTCTTGTTTTTCCTTTTTGTGATAATAAAATGATATAAATTGCAATTTGTACCAAGGATTCAGAATACATGTGATTATATATAGTAAGTTGCCATTTTCTTAATATTTATTGAATTTTTTAATCATAGGTAAGCTAACTTCATGAATAAAGATATCTGAATAAGATCTCATTTTAAATATATAAGTACGAATATTCAAAATAGAGAGAAGCGTATGATTAATTGTTGGATAAAAATTTGCTAATGCATTTAATATATCTATTTATAGTAAATAAAAATTAAAAATTATATACTATGTATATAAAAAATTAAAGTTATATAAAGTTAACTTTTTATTTGTAATATACAAATTTAATTATTAAAAGTTTTTTTTAAAAAAAAATTAATTTTGAATATTGTAATACAAAAGTTAACTTTATACAATCTAATCTTATATACAAATTTCAAATTCAAATAATATATAAAATGCTCTATTAATATTTACATTTGTAGAATGGTTCTAAAATATAACAAATAGCTTTTGCTTTTTTCTATTCTTCTTCATTCAGCATATCTGGAAAAGCTTTATCCCTATCTTTTACTCTAATAATTGTAGCTTTTAATCTTATTGCTAATTGTAACATCATAAACATTAAGTTTCACCTAGTTTCATAGTCTAATGGTGAAATTATACTTCTAAGCAACTCATATTTACAAGCATCAATAAACATTTGGTATCATTTTGGTGATGTATGAATTGCTTTAATGCAACTACAAATCTACAGTATATACAGTAAACACGATATATTAAATTATTATATATTACTTAAAATTATTTATATATATAATAGGTACTATTTTAATTTTCTCTAAAATTTTCTTTAATCCATCCTTTACAATAAGGTTAAGGATATAAGCAAGACAATGATTATAAAAAATTTCAATATTGATATCAATTAACTCCTGTAAAATACTATTAGTTAATTCACAAACTGCAACATTATTTGAAGCTATATTGTCAAGAGTAATTGTTTGCAACTAAAATATATTTTTATTATTTATTATTATAAATATAATATATATAGTAGAACCAGAGACTGAGATCGGAGAACCAAGTGACCAGGTCCTTAAGTGGGGGGATATACAAGCCGAACCGCCAGGTCACCAAACCGGAAGAAAAGAATATGTGCTCTGGAAGCATGTACCAAGGGAAGGAAGACTATATAGACACCTAAAGTCTAGATGAACCAACTTTTCTAGGTTGCTGGCTGGAAGTAAGGGAGAGACCGATAAAGAATCTGGGAAAGAAGGAAAGTCCGAATATAGGTGCTGGGGTTGTGCAAACCCAAAACAAGAGCAGGAGTACATAACAACTACTAAAAATAGGAAGGTTGTGGTTTGAGATATGGATCGAGTTACAGCAGTATCCTAAAAGATAGCTCAAGATACGAACCCGGTGGTGGCAACACAACAGGTACTAGATTAGGAAGAAGTTACTGAACATGCAGATGAATATATGTGTGGGACATGTACCGCTCTGTTAGGTTTACCTCGTGGATAGACTAGCTAATGCTAGTAAGTTCTAAGGTGAGTGCGAAATCTATAGGTATCGCAAAATCTAGCATATGAATAGTGAGTTATACCTTGGTTAGGTAAGAGATGGCGGCCAGTTGTGATCAGAGAGTTTAAATAGGTAATCCCCTAGTTGGGTTGCAGGTATAGCAGCTAGTGTGGAACCTCGGGCAG